TGCCTCCTGTGGGTGTGGGTTCGATCCCCACTACTGGAAAAATATTGTGTGATGAACATAGAGTTTTTCTAGTGTCTGGGTGTATATATGTATAATATGTATTTATTTACAAAAGAAAAGTATGTTTAAATATGTTTATCAGTTTGCTAGTACCCATAGTACAAGCTTTGCTTAGTTTGGGACTAGAGAATGTTGTGTAAAAATGTGTCCTAAAAAGTATTTATTTATTATTTATTTTTTTATTATTTAAGCCTTAGTCGCATTTTGTTGAAACATGTACTATAATTTTCTTGTTTAAAAATTTATGGTCATAATGTGATAGTAATATAGTAGTAGTAGTAGCCGTGACGCCTAAGTGTCCGGGTGTCCTTTTAATTTAATATAGTCGAGCAATCTGAGTTCAAATCACGGTACCGGCAAATTCTGCCTTCAAATCACCAAATTACAGTTGTAATTTTAAGTGATATCTTATCATTTGCTCAGCGGTTAAGGAAACCAGCGTAATTTGGAAAAAATAATAATACGACGAAACGAAAAAACAATAATGACAAACGATATATTAAGAAGATATGAAGTCCGCCAATTTGCGGTGGGGTCGCGTGGTTGGCTGTATCGAGGAACAGTCAGGAATATCTATAAATTAAGATTTAAAATTAAAAATGAAAAGAGAAAATCAAGTAATCAGCAAAAAACTATATGTCTAGCCAAAGACCTGATAAATTCTTTCCACAGAACAGATCCTTTCCGTGACATAGTAGGCTCGGTTAAAAACGAACGGTAATATATAAATTAATTAATTCCCTCGATCAGTTATGACCCAATGCAACGATAGTTAGATTTATGTATTGCTGATGCAGTAAATTGCTAATGGTGCGAATAAAATATGCAACAGCGAGCCTTGACCCCGCTTGAGAGTTGCCGTCGTGTGGATCAAGTCCGGTCTACGGACAATCTCTTCGGGTCTACTTCCGTTCGCTCAATCGGCAGTTATCCAGGACCACAATGCGAGGATTTCAGCTTCGAGCACCGCGTCAGAGTAATGTCCGTAATGTTGCATTGTACGTGCCACTGTGTTCTCCGGCGACGGGCTAACGATCAACGGGTAGGCAGATATTTCTTATTGTTCACGTGGAATCTGCGCAGAGTTTTATTGACGCAATTATCAGAATCGAGGGCAACTGACTGCACGACTGGCTTCGACTATGGCGGAATAATTTCACTGTGTGCATTGAAAAAAAATTCTGTTCACTTTAAATCGAATAACACTGTTCAATCATCTTTAAGTCCTTTTGACGCTCAGTTAGGTCAGCTACCCACGCCCGTGTTGGCAAGGAAAATGTATTGTATTAAATCTGTTTTCAAGTCCAGTTTAAGTACCATTAGTTTAAGGAGAAACATCTCGTCTGCAGATACAAAAGAACTAACAACAAAGGAAGAACTTACGCCTGAAGAAACATACAGAAATCTTGTCATTTCACGAGCTGCAATGCCTAAGGCTATAGAAAAATAGCGAGGGCATATAAATCCACATTTCATTGTTAAACACCCGTATGCCGCGGGTTTACCGTGTTACCGCCCGTCTTCCATCAACAATTATCGGTCTTGGGCCTAGTTTTCAAGCCAAAGTTAACAAAGTCCCAACCAGTATTCTACATAATTCCATAACCGAAGCACCGATATGGCTTACGGTAAGGTCATGTCACGGTCGAGTATCCGCACGGAGGCCCTACAAAAGCCAAGGTCAAACGGTGCTTATTTGAATAGAAAGAAATTTTAGACAGTATTATAACACAAACTTGAGTATTAAATGTATACAGTTTACGGATGGTATCGCGTTTTTTATTTTGATTTGAACTCCCGACTTAAACTAGTCTCATTTAATATGTATAACATTCGCGTAAAATCAAGAAAACAATATACAAACTTGAGTAATAAAATGAATACTCACACAAACTTTGTGCATTATTACTTGTTTACATTATTAGTACTTGTTAATGTCTTGCCGCTATTTCTGAGATTGTTCTGTTTATATTATTATTCATTACAGATGATCTATACGTTTTCATGCATTAGCTATTTACTTTGCTTTAAGTATACTAATGATATTATAAATATATTACTTAATTCTATGTAATTAAACAAAGCGTATGTGATCATACAAAATCCCCAAGTTGATTTCAACGAATTTCTATACAAAATATGTATTTATTATTATAGTGTTTTCTTATTTTTTTTCTTTTTGTTTAAAATTCCACCATTGCATTTCCTTATCGATGTGACTGCAGTGAAGCATCGAATGCTCTGAAAGCTCGCTACACTGCGTTGTAGGTGTTTATTGCAAGTGCATTCACGTCCGACATTATTATTTTTAAGTTTTGTATGTATTCATTGTATTAGACCGTGAATAAACGATTCTTCTTCTTCGTCTTCTTCATTGTTGTTGTTTTGGACTTACTTCAGAATCGACTTTTATTTTAAATGTCATTCTAATACTGAAATGTGTAACTCTACATGTGTAACATATAACATGAAAGTTTAAGTATAGTCCTCCATACAAGGCATACAATGCCATCTGGCGGCAATACAAACACAACAAATACTTTTCCTCTTGGTTGGCGCTTGCTAATCTAAAAGCATTGAAAGTGAAACATCAGGAAGCATTCACTCATAAATTTTGAATTTTGTCAGAATTATACTCATAGTCCTTGGTCGAAAGCGATTTTCGTATCGAGTTTGATGTCCACATCCATTTTCCCTATGACTCAATTTTATGAAAACATGCTATGTTCTAAGTGCTTTTCTACAGAGGGATATGTACGTTTTCAGAGTTAAAATGTATCCAGAATGCTTTTCCAATACATTTATTGTAATCTTTTAAATCAATTTAGCTATTTGTTTGCTAAAGACGTAATAATCACAGTATTACATCGCAGACACATCCCACGTCCCATAAGTACCGTGTATTCTGCGAAAATGAAAACTTCATTTGTCTAAAACCTTAACACTTAATTTGGACCAAATTCGTTCAGATGTCATATAACTAAACGATTTCAGAATTAAAATTCAGAACTGTGCATACCTTTCGTGTCTCTCATCATTGTATGCATAACTGTAATTAAAAAATTCAAATCTGTTCCTCAGGAACTGCATTTTATCGAGATAAGAAACAGAAACAGCTTATGCCCGACCTTATTTCAATGCTTCGTAAAAAGAGTACGTACGAACGTACACATTTTTGCATTCATAATACTATATACTATACATAATACTGGTAGGTATGTATTGTTGTTACCTTTGGATAAAAAATCATCAATATATTTCCTACCTCTGTGTATTACTAACGCAACTGAAGTGACAATATGGAATCAGAAGCAGAAACAGATATCAATATAAAGAATTAATGAAAATTGTAAATATATACTGCAAAATACTCTTTTTATCAAATTAATATTAAAATTTAAATAGGAATATTGTCAGTAATATTTCTGTTTAAATTTCCAATATAAAAGTTACGGAAACAGAAAAAGAAACGGATGCAAAAAGCGTGCGAAACTTCCGTTTTTTCGGAACCAAATAAAGCTCTGCAGTTGCATCACTACTATAGAGTATCAATTAATACTAAGTCTTATAAAAGTAAAGTAGTCAGGTTAGTTATAGTATTATTATAAACATGACCATCTTAGTGAGATAGCGTCAACAAGGATTATACAAAATAAAACAAAAAGTGAAAGTCGCCAAAAGTTTATTTTTTAAATAAATTTTGTGAGCCTTTTTTTCCGAACAAGTTTCGTAACGTGTCGATTAAGGTTTTCGATTATTCGATACAAAAACAATAGATATAAAATATTAATCGATTTTTAAAGTAGTTTCTGACAATGCGGTTTTAGAATTTTGTTATTTGCAAAAAAAAAACAATCTATGGCAAGATATAAATAATACGAACACTTACGTTAAATAAGACTTGATTAAATATTTAAATTTTATAATAAATTTCACGAGTACTTCATAAGAGTTTTGTGTTTCTTTTTTTTTGTTACATTAAATAAATAATATTATGCATCAAGTGAGTGACATTTTTAAAGATATTTTCTAATATCTAGTACAATCATGTGAATTTCCATCGCGAGACATATAAAAATATTAGGTATTTTAATACAAAAACTATTTTTAAGTACTATCAAACAGCTTATGCGGTAACGTGAATTTCCGTGAAATAGACATACCTAGATCGATCGATCACTGTTAGAGATCACATCAGTATTATATTACTCAATAAAAATTGTCAATGATTTGCGCAATTACGAAAAAACTACCTAAAAAACGTAGGTACTTTCGTCCTATAAGCGTATTTCTTTCTATGCTACGATTAATTCGCCTTCAAATAATACCCAATTAATAAATAGAAATGTACATTGTGCTCATCGGATATTCGATTATAAGTCTAAACAAATAAACTACATCTAATATCACACTTGTCCTGTAGCGGCATGTATTGTTTCATGGTGATTGCAGATCAAACAAAACGTTAGAGCCTCCGCGCAATTATGCAATTAGAGCACTTTTCCACTGTTACGTTCGCACCATATAAATGGGATTGTTAATTGAATGCAAGGTCACTTCTCTCCACTTTTCCTACGCACTGAGTATATGACTTCGATATCGCCGCAGACAATTGAAGCTCAGCCGGTCGCTTCCAGTCGAAGACGAACCAATATAACGATGTTATTTTATTACGGGATCACGCTACACATGACGTCATGGCGATTGACGTATGCGAGCGCGATCTGAATCTCTTTAGTGTCCACTGTACTTGATACGCATTCGATCACTTAGCATAGTAGGTAACGATTTTATTTCGACGCAAACGGATCTCCGTTGGACGGCGCGTTGACGGCGCGCCTCTCGTGCTGCGGTCAGCATCTCTCGGCTGCGAGTGGCAACTCGCGCTTGACGGTCCAGCCGCCTCCGTGGAGTGAGGGTCCGTCAGATGGTCAGCATCAATTCACGCCCACCGGCAGACACTTGCACTGTTTGATCTTCTGCAGGCGTTTGCGCTTGAACGGCGGGTTCTGTCCGGGGCAGCGCAGCGTCACCGTCACCCACGAGAACTTCTTCGGCTTGCAGAAGGAGCAGGACTTGAAGGCGGGCGGTGGCCGCTCGTCGCCCGAGTCGCGCCGCCGTGGGCCTTTCGGTATATAGAACGAGTTGCACTGCCCGTAGCAGAACTTGTTGATCACGGTTGCCGGTAAGCAGCCCGGCTCGCGGATCTTCTGCACCAACGGCTCCGTCTTGCACCAGTCCTCCTTCAGGTACTCCTTTTTGGTGACGAACAGCGCGCTCTTGGACGACTTCAGTATCTTGCGGAAGTCCACCCCGGGGGGCACCTCTGTGCTGTCGTCCTGTTCGGGCACGGAGAGCACCGCCTCGGAGCTGCCCTCGCCGAGCTCGTTCCGCTGCACGTAGCTCGGGGAGGCGGTGCCTTCCTCCGTGCGGCGGCGCGCGGCGATCATCTTCTCCACTTGCTCGGTGTCGATGATGTCCAATATCGAGTCGGTCGGCGTGAACGGCCGTTTGCCGACGCCGGCGCTGGCGCAGGCCGCCAGGAGCGCGGCGGCCACGAGCCACACGTGCGACCTCGACGAACTCTCCATCTGCAATGAGCGGGATAGGGAGCGGAGACCGGAGGCAGTTGGAGGCTCGCGCGGTACGCACTACGAGTTTTCGAGGGGACGGTGTGCGTGTCGCTTGTCCGCGGTCGAGGCGCAGTGTGCGTGAGCGCAGGGCCGGAGCGGTAATGAACGCGCGCACTCAATGGACCGCCGCTCAATGAACGGGATGACTCACACACCGCGCCTCCGTCATAGAGCCGCTACAACAGCTCGTCGCAGAGCGGACACTGCACGTGTTTCGGATTACGTTTAACAGCGCCCCGAAGGCTTCCTTTGTGATTAGTGATTACATTAACATGATAATGATCCGATAATCTGCAGCAGCAATAAAACGTTTCTTAATAGTCAGATTATAGTAAGCTATAAAATTTCTTTGTGTCTAAAATTGAATAGGTTTTAACAAAGATAATATCATCGTTCAATAATCCTTTTTACTTTATGTACACTATTATGTAGTTAGTTGAATGTTAAGTTTTTCATATACTTGAATAGCGAACAGAGTCGCGAGAATCCCTTACCATAAGATTTAAATTAATTTTATTATTCAACGATCTTTATATATACTTTTTCTTCTTATAATTTATCCATCCTTGCTGGGTCAATTACTATAATTTCATTTAACTAACGACCCAAACTTACGAAAGATTCCTCAATTTTCACCCTTATTTTACTAAATACCCAGCCATCAATTAACAATCAAATTAAAACCTGACCTTCCTTAAACTTCATGACTTCACAGATACTTAAATGTCATACATGTTTCATTAATCCATTTTCGTCCAGATTAAAGTAAACTCTCAGAGGCGGTCGATCGCTTAGGCAGCGACTGATGTCCGGATCCCGGTTGCTCTTAGGCAATAATAGTCGGGAGAGATTTTCTCACCTATCGTGCCGCGGCGCCAAAACAATCCGCTGTTTCGGCGCGAGCAAACAGGCGCCGGCGCAGATGGTGGCTCGTAGGAGATCCGAGGGCAGCGCTTCCGCCCATTCGCGCTTCCCACAATGCCCATAGAGATGGGGGGACCGGAGCCTTCTGCGAAACGTGGGCGCCGCGTGGGCGAGTGGGATCGATTGCGCTTTTAAAAAGAGAACCTCCAGAGACGCGCGGCAAACCGCCGAGCGCCGTATCGTGACTGTTGGAGAGTGAGACGCTTTGTGAATAGGTAAGCGCGAAGCCGTTCGTATGTATGTTTCTAGAAAATCGTGGTAAATAAGTTACTTTGTTAATAAGATCCCAACAGATTTAGCTAGCTACTTTGGGGCTGTCCCGTCGACCAATTTCGATCGCGATATTATCCCCAAAAGGTAGCAACATTATTATTTTTAGACGAATAAGATTCGTCGTTCATTTACTTCAAATCATTTTTATATATTAAGGAATCCTGTAAAGAGAGCGACGTCACAGTCGACGGAATAATCCAAAGTTTTTTTTTTTTTACTAATTTTAAAATGATATGACACGTATTTAAACATAATTGTTATATATATAGAAAGTATATTGGTCCCAGTACGCTATGTATCTATACTAACTGTCAAGTACCTACTATTAAATTTAATTTTAATGTTAAGGTTTTATACGTACTCGTATTTCAACCTGCGTTGAATTAAATTATTGCGTATTTAAATTAAACTTACGCTTTACGATCAGTGACGGAACAATATGCGGGTATTTCAATATTAATGGTATTCAGATAAAGTATTGAAGTAATATTACGTGTAGGCACTAATCAGGTAGTGTTAACATCGTCATTGTAATTGTAGATTTGTTCGAACAGACGTAAAGGTAGGTCATCAATATGAAAATAGTCCTCTTCTATGCGGTATTGAATCTGTAACATTCTTGTTAGGTTCTAATAAACCAATATATAGGGCTACTCTTTCAACGGCGATTCAAGTAATAATACATTTAATAGGCAATGACGTTCGATACGTTTTATTTAAAATTTTACTGGTCTTACTTTAATCCCGATTGTAATGTTATCTCGTTTCAAAATGCTTGAAAAACAAAAGCTTTATTAATACTACTACAAGCTAGAAACGTCAAATAACATTTTGCTCGCTGCTTTATTTTGTAATTTACTAATGTAAAAAATAAAATAAAACCGTATTTTTGACATAAAAGTTAAATTACAACGTCCAAAACCGCAGGACTTGTTGGGTAGGGGTCATCTATGTGTTAATTACTCATATTTTATGTGAAGTGAAACCGTTTTGTTATTGCACATTTTTTAGTTATGTATATTCTTTGTCTAGTTTTTAGGTGTAAAGATTGCGTTTTTATCTTTATATAAATGTGCTCATTCCGCCCCCAGTCCCATCGACTTTTAAAATTCATCTTGTCTTGTTATGGATATATTTAAATATTGGCGTTTCGTCTGGTGAGTGAGGTAGCCGGAGCCCAATTTTCAAAAGGTTGTCAACGCATCTGTAACCCTCGGATTGTAGCGGATGTCCATAGGCGGCGGTATTCACTCACCATCAGGTGAACCGTCTACTTGTTTGGCAACTTTTCACATTAAAAAAAATCTAGCACCCATAGATTAGGCTTTGCTAAGTTTGAGACTAGATGACTTGTTAAGTCATATGTGAAAGTATATATGTATATGTGATATTACGCTTCCAGTCCGGAGACTAAATAAAACGTCATCAGAAACTTGAGAACGTCTGATGTTTTATTTTTATCACGAACTAATAGTATTTATTTTGCCAGAATTGAATTTCATGCTCAAGAAGCAGAGGAGTTGCAGTTTAACAATTTAACGTAACCTAAGTTTGGCTTTAATAATATCGACTGTATTAGAAAATATTCCAATAGACATCGTCTAAAACTGATGCTGATGATTTAAAAAGATTATTATATATTTATATTTCAAACACTCTTATTGTACAGTTAATTGTAAGTAGCTAATTAAACGTTTATTTTATTTCATGCAGACATCGGCTTATTAAAATTTTTATTTAAGTTTGCTTATTTTCTTATAACTGCAACCCCAGATTCTTTATTACAGTTATGTATTAGTGCAAACAATTGTCGAATATCCCCAATTAAAATAAAACAGCATCGATATACATACCAGAGATAAATTCATTCTTCTGCTTTTTTCCCGCCAAAATTTGGGCCGTTGCAAGAAATACAAAAGAGCCATGAGTTCACATGGCTAGTGTGGTGTCGCAAGACCGTAATCCGGGGCTCGATAAAGCAAAGGAAGTCTTTTAAAAGCCGTACTTTTTTCAAGGCGGAGGCGCTTAACATCGGAATGTTGGAATTTCATTCATCAAACGGCCATTCAGGGGCCGTTTTGTTACCGTAGAACTAGAAAAAAATGTGACCATAATAAGCGTAAAGGGTCCCCTTAGCGACGTGCCGTCTGACTCGCCCACACGCATACAGCGTGTTCTAAAAGTCAATTAAGGTACATTATTGTGTATAATATGTGTTTAATATTAGTAAACATTTTTTTAAATGATAACTTCATTTAAAATTATAATGTTTCACGCCATTTAATAAATCATTATTACAAGATATAAAATCCTTAGAACAAATATCCGGTCTTATTAATATTATTTCAATATGATATTATGTATGTTAAAGGTAAACTAAAGACAAGTTATGTGCTAAAATTCATTACGTAAAGCTTAAAATAATAGGCACACATGTGCCTATGTCCTAACTAAAAACATAGCTTAATATAATAAATAACTAAAACAACCTATTCCTGTGTAATAGTAAGCATATGTAAATATTGTAAGTCGAAAACGAGATTGAGAAACCAAAGTATTATAAAAAATCTTAAATTAATTTAAAGAAGTTAGGTATTACAAATATGCTCTATATTACAATAAAGAAAAAAAATATGATTGCCAATGTAAAATGTTCACATTATAATTATTATTACTTATTATTGTTTAAACATAAATAAACGTATTGACGAACAAGCTTGTTATCGAAAACAAAGACTCCTGAATGTTAATCCTAAATGATGCAACATTGGCACGAAATAATCTAGATAGACATTATTGTGGATAATAGCACAAAGAGTACGTACCAAGATATGGCTGGATGCACTCCGGATAATTTCCGTGCACAATGTCGTCATTGTCATTGTTAAGTTTATTCGGCCACATCCTGTATGTACAGAATTTGTGTCCCAGTGTTATAATACAACAAGTCATTTTGTTGCCACGTATTTATTAAAGAAACACCGGCTCGAAGGTACAAGAAGCGTCCGCCGCTTCCCAGAATCAAACGAACGCGTTTCGTTGATCGATGTGACTTTTTGATGCACACAAACGAAAATAAAAGAGGCCTTTAGGTGCGCTAATAAACTACATTAGTCTTTGCAGAAACCAACCAACTAAGCTTATGTTGGTCATAAGTTATTTACGCTTTTATCATGCTTCAATCGACGCTGGCGTTCAGTTTAATTGCTTTAAATCCTTTTTGTTTTAACGAGATATTACAGTTGTTTAATTGGTTCATTTTACGTTCCTTTTTCTGTTGTCTTTATTTGAATTAAATAATAATTTATTGCTTTTTAGGGTTCCGTACCCAAAGGGTAAAACGTTATTACTAAGACTTCGCTCTCTGTCTGTCTGTCTGTCTTTATATCCGTCTGTCTGTCTGTCCATCTGTCACCAAGCTGTATCTCATGAACTGTTATAGTTTTAGATAGTTGAAATTTTCACAAATGTTGTATTTCTGTTGCTGCTATAACAACAGAATAAAAAATATATTTAAATGGGGCTCCCACTTAAATATATTTTTAGACATGATTTTTTTGCGTTTTTATAGATAATGGTACGGAACCTCTCGTGCGCTAGTCCGACACGCACTTGGCTGGTTTTAACTCATTAACGTGGATTTGAAACGGTTCTTAACAAAGGCTACCCTCAATATTCAAATAAAAATAAACACATGGCACATTTATTTTATATTCAACCTTTCAAACTTATTTAAAATAACTCTGAATGGGATTTATCTCTGGCCTTTAAAAGTAACGCATAGTACTTTATTTACTTCGACCGTGAATACATAACGCTATATACATATCGACTAGTAGAATTTCATAATTTATATATGAAGAACATAGCACCTTGAGTGAAGATCGAAGAATTCCTGCGTTGAAAATGTTAGAGTATAGAGTAAGTATATAACAAGTATAATTTTTAACAAAAAAAACCGACTTCAATCAGAAAATTAAAAACAATGTTAATACCTATAACATTCAATGATGGCCCTCGATTTCTCTGGGATGCCATCATCAAATCCGGATTTCCTTATCATGGGTTATCTCCTTTCCGACAAAATACGGCCGTATATATACGGTCGAATTGAGAAACCTCCTCCTTTTTTGAAGTCGGTTAAAAATTAAATGAAATCGTAGCAAAATATGAGCAAAGTAACAGTCAGTTAACTGTTAGTTAAAGTAAAGTAAAGTAACAGCCCATACATGTCCCACTGCGGGGCAAAGGCCTCCTCTATACAGAGGGTAACTGTTAGTTAAACTGTATTATTACATTTTCTTGAACACGGTTTTTCATTAATAAAATACACCTTCTTCCATAAAGTTATACAATAATATTTCAAATAATTGAAGTCGTCTACAGTATCGAGCAACTAAATTGATTCGCCCGTACAAAATTTAAGAAAATGTTTTTTTTTTTTTTTCAATTGTTACTATACTGATGTACCCATTATTATATACATGTATTGAAAAACTAATGTTTAAGCTTTAAAATTATGCCATCATTTTGAAAATCTGCGTAGAAATTTTTAAAATATCCTGACATGTATTGAAAGAAAGAAAGAAAGAAAGAAAATCTCTTTATTTGACATCACTTAAAAAAAATACATATTGAAAACATAAACAGAAAAATAACTATTGTGACGTCAAATTGGAACTCCATTTCAGCAAAATGCTGCAGTTCTATTCATACTACAGCGCTGATTTTCAAATGGATCCTAAAGTTGACTTCACGGACGAAAATACTACTAATATTAATATTATTATTTACAAGAGGAGAAGAAAAAAAAGAATAATAATGCAATAAAATTATAATAATAGCACCAAAAAAAATTATAAAAAAAGAATAATAATACAAAAAAAAAATAATAATAATGATAACAATTAATTACGTTCCTTTACAAGTGGGCTGCAAAGTAAAATATAACATTGCAAACTACATATATTATATTCAGATATAAAATACAATAAACATAAGAAAAAAAGCATAATTATACATAGACGTAAGTAATAAAGGCAGAATGAGACATAAAATGTAATAGCCGCTAAGATGGAATTATTGAAAGAATTTGTTTGTACATAAATTATTTATGAATTAGAGGATGTTTGGTCATTTAGTAAATGTCTTCTTTTAAACAATCTTACTGATTTCATGGCACGAATAGTATTGATGTATCAAAAACGCACTGTGTACGGTAGACGCGAGCTACGCGTTTCAAAACCCTATAAAAATTTAGGCATGCAAGCACCCTTATCAGTCGCTTATCAGACGTTGATCTGAACACACCTCCGCAATTTACCACTGGATACTGCGCCGGAAGAAGCCGCTTAAGTCCTTTCTTTACTGCGACAGGACCTTAGCCAACGAGAAGTCGCCCGCCGACTAAACCTGAGTCAATCTGTTGTATCAAGGGTCAATAGAATGTTTCAAGAGACTGGTTCCTACTCTAGGAGGGCAAATACCAATTGTAACCGTCATACGTCCGAGAGAGACGACCGTATCATTGCTTAGCCACGGTGTTGTCGTCCAAGGATACTAATAAAGGGAAAACTACATAATTATGTATCATTGTTAGATGAATTAGAATAAAAATTTGCCATGCAGTTGCTTCGAAAACATGAAATTAGCCCACAAATTATTACTATTTTTATTACATTAACTAGTCACATTGTATGTTTTTTCGTGAACTCATAAACTTAAAACTTCACAAAGTGGTGTCTCAATACACGTAGACACATCCCATCAATTGCTTTCGCACAGTGCGGACGCACTACATACTGAAAGATTAATTAGTCCAACGGTATACTAAAAATAAACGTACAATTCTGCTGTAGGGAAATACTATTCTCAGACCACTTTGTTCCTACTACGTCCAATTGCAAAAAGCATTAAATAAATTAGAGTAGTGGTGTTCTAAACCATAACGCTTTAAATTTCCATTTAACGAACGGAACGTGTGTTAACACCAATAAAACATGTTTTTTTTTAATTTGTATAATATATATCACTTACTGTAGAATTACATTACCCTTTGTTATTATATATCCTTATACTATCATTAGCACACAATAAATTACCGAATGTACACACAATAATGAATACCCGAATGGCGTAGTAGATAGTTCACTTGCCTCTTGTGCAAGAGGGTGTAGGTTCGATCCCCACTGGAATAATATTGTGTGATGAGCATAGTATGTTTCTAGTGCCTGGGTGAGTAATATGTACTGTATAATATGTATTTATTTACAAAAGAAAAGTATGTTTATCACTTATTTTTATTTATTTATTTATTTATTTGTCAGAATAAGGTAATACATAATGGTCTTAAATCTAATACAGAAGTTCACTTATTCTGCCTCTTTCATAGGCGTACAAAAATTAAATCGTCTTAATTTAATTTCGACATAAAATTTTAATACAAAACTATAAAAAATTAATTATGGATAAATGTTATACAAATTGTCATAAATATGTCAAAGAGAAAATCAATAATAATACATGTCACCGTCAAATTGCTATATGTGTCACCTATATTTACTATTATAATTATATTAATTAAATAATAATTTTACAAACAAAAATATTCAGAAAGACTATAAAAACACTTGCTGAGAAGCCACTCTATGAATTTTCGTTTAAACGTTTGACTTGTTTCATTCTTTATTGTGTCTGGCAGACGATTGTATACACGGATTGCCATGTAGAAAGCATTCCTATTAAAGAATGAGGTGCCTGATTTAGGCGAGAATAATTTATTTTTGTTCCTAGTATGCCTCTGTGTTACATCAGACTGTTGTATAAAAAAATTTAAATTTTGTCTTACAAAAAAAACAGACATCCCTCACATACATACACGGTAAGGGAAGAATGTTTAATTTCTTAAAATGAGATCTACAACTCTCACAATACCCCAAATTGCATACAGCGCGAATACATTTTTTTTTGTACTACAAATGCTTTCTGGCTATCGGTAGAGTTACCCCATAACAATAACCCGTTGCTTAGAACTGAGGAAACATAACCATGATATGCACATCGTCTTAGAGCATAAACAAATCGGTCTAATTTCTTACAAATTTTAAAAATTTGCTCCTTCCAATTGCATTGTTCATCAAGTGTGATACCCAAAAATACTGCAGATTGCACCTTTTCTATCGATTTATTTTCAAATTTTATATATTTAATTTTAATTTTTTTTTTTACATTTTATATACTTAACTACGTCAAGAATAGAGTCATTGATTTGATTACTAAAATTATTTATGTCATTAGCCTTTATTATTAGAGTTGTATCATCGGCAAAAAGAATGCATTTTTCTTTCGTAGCTTGAGGTAGGTCATTGATTAAATTATTAATAAAAGCGGGCCTAAAATACTACCTTGTGGAACACCATATTTAATAATTTTATAATCTGATCTATATGATGATTTTTGTATTTGCTTGTTTTTAGGCACCATCTGACAGATTTCAGTGCATTGCCTTCTGTTCTTCAAATAACTAGCTATCCAATGATTTGCTTCACCACGAATACCATATTTTTCTAATTTTTGAAGCAAAATATCATGTTCTATGTGGTCAAAGGCCTGAATCATGTCTTATAGTAATGCTACTACAGTTATCCTTTGAGATATGCTTTCGGTGACAAATTTAAGAAGATGAAAGCATGCAAGTGTAGTTGAACTTTTCTTTACAAATCCAAACTGCTGCGGATTTAATATATTATGCTTTGTAAAGAATAAATTTAATCTATTATACATAGCTTTTTCAAATATTTTCGATAACACAGGCACGAGAGTAACTGGTCTATAATTGTTTACTGTTGCCTTGTCACCTTTCTTAAAAAGTTATCAACACATCTGCAGCCCTCGGGTGTAGCAGA